TCCAGGGCACAACTCTCTCTGCCACCCTCAGCATGAGCTGCATCAGGAGTGTCTCCTGCAAGCCACGGCTCCAACAAGTTCCCTCATCTCAGCCAGCCAACACATGACAGAGAGAAACTTCTTCTGCCAACATCTTCAACACCTGCCAATTCTATGATTCCTCTCTGATTAATTTTCCAAGACAGCACATCTATGAGCCCACTTCCTACCAAGTTTCTTTTCAGAGAAGAGAGCAAGCTACACAGCGGGACGTGGTGGGTGAGCACAGAGCACCTCAGTCAGCATCACTGTTCCAATTTACCTGTGCACACAGTAGGCACGATGAGTGAAGTGGATCCTTTCTACATTTCCTTTAACAGACATCAGAAACAGTAAATTCCTGAGGAAATTACGACACAAGGAACATACTCCATTTTGACAAAACAAATGTGCATAGTTTCCTTCCTCCAAAAAGCTTCCACAAGGATGCTTTAAGACTCGAGTTAGTTGTATTACACAAAAAAAATGTGTGAAAACACTCCCAGACTGGTCAAATCCTGATCTCACCAAACAGCCAATTCTTATTTATTTCCATAGAATTAGAACATTTCACCTCTTCTTTGCACGCACTGCACACAGACATATACTCATGCATATAAAGACAGAAATATTACCAAATCAAAACATCCAAATTTAGGAAACGTGAATTCCAGCTCACTGTGAATTGCCTCAGTTCAAACCCTTTCCTTGGCATGCACAAGATTTTTTTTGGTTATGTCCCTGTACTCCCCTCTCCCCAGTTCATCCAATTCACAAGTTAAACCTATACAAGGAAGGTCTCAGGAGCTTGTCTGAAGAACCTTTTATATATTTGTTATTTCTCAGGTGAGACAATTTGCAATGAATGAACAAGAGGGAGAATGCTCTGATATTAAAAGAAAGATATTACATAGAAAGATATAAGAAGTCCTACAAACTGTCAAACTGGTCACAAGAAAACCAGCTTTGAGCCAACATTTGCTGTATCTTTTTCTGACCCAGCATGAAATTTGCAGAAAGTTATTTTCTGCAAGCTAAATACTGTGAGAAAAGTCAAAGCAGTAGCTGCATTACAATAAAAATAGCATCTTACACAGAGTTAAGGTAATACATGTACAAAGAGTACATTAATTACTAAAAGCACCAGCCAGACTTAAAGGCTATTTCTTCTCATTTTAGACTGCTTGACTTCATAACCCTAAAGTCCTTACTATGGTGAAGAGGATTTTTACATCTGTAAAACATACACAGAAGTCTCAAAACAGATAACAAATGTAATTCCACCACTGAAGATTGAACTTTGGGAAAAGATGGAGAGTAAGTGTGAAAATAAATTGTAATGACTTTTAGATGAAAAAGTGGCTACGGATCAGAACAAACAAGATGAATCTGATGAAACAAAATATTAGTTAGCAAATTGATGAGATCAAAAACCTGAGTAGGAGCAGCAGATGTTTTCCAACCATCTGATTGCACATGGGAGAGAAGATAATAAATAAATAAATAAATAAGTCATTCTAGTCTAAACTTGGAAAAATTCAGGTTGAGGATTATTTTTAGGAAAGATATCAAATACTAGAAACCATATTGACTTTCAGAGAGAAATATACAGCTCCAAAATATGAGCCAGAATAACAGGGTTTTTTTAAAAACTTGCAAATCACACAAACTATACAGAGGTTCATTTTTTTTCATCCAAGTCAATTTGTTTATGGGAGCAGCAGCATTAGACAGAGAAGTTGACAGATGTAATGAATGACTTGGCAGAATGCCAGTAGAGGCCAAAATTGAAGAGGCATAATTGAAATACATCCACCATGGAAGTAATAATTCAGGAGCATTCCTAAAACAGTACATTCTTGTAATTTTACAGAAAGATATGTAAACAGGATAGCATTCATTAAGAATGTAATTTCTCTTGGGCAAAAGCCGTATCTTAAATTATATCCTAAAATTCTCACATTTTTGCATACCATAAAATTGAGAAAGCTCTTTCACTGCATGCATGATCAAAGAGAGGAAAATATATGCTGTATCATCATCAAGGAACAGAATGATTTACAGGGTAAGAAATTTAAGTAATTTAGAATTCACTCAGACATCATTCAAAACAAAGAAGGTCTTTGTAGAGTATTGCTGGGGTTTTTTTCCTCACCCTTGGAGCCAATAGCTCACTTATTAAAAACAGATTTCTTGTTTGAAAAAGTGAAATAAGCACATCTACGTGGATGACCTGGTTTCATGAGGTGATAAGAAATTTAACAGTTTTCCTATACCAGGTCAGCAGAAAACCTGTGAAATTGCTTACAAGACACACTCATCATTTACTTTTTTCCTCTATACTAATAAAAAGAGCAAAATAATGATTCACCATAAGCATTCTCAAATCTGATCCATGATGAACATGAAATACTTAGATGCAAGCAATGGATTTAAACCAGTTAATTTTCTCACTATGGACAAAAAAATATATTTGCTGTACCTAATACAGTTTGAAGATGTAATTCTTGAACCATATTAATGTTGACCTTCAGGAATTGCATTTATTTTTATATATTAAAGAACTGATGACCTTATAAGAAGCGTGACTTTTATGATGACATAGCTGTTTCAGTTCTTAGTGCTTAATTACCTTAACACATAGTACCACTGAATTGCTAAAATACTACTCAAACTATCCCCAAACATTTCAACAGCTGACTGACTTAAATTCCACCAATGGATTGCTAAACAAAGAAATTGGCATTCAGTCTAATATTGCTAATTTTCAGTGAATCGGGTACAAGTTGTTTTACGGAATAAACATCTAGATTTGATACTTCTTTTTATCACTGCTTACCAGCCTAGATCACTTTGCCTGCTGTTCAGATGCACTTTGTTTAGTCAGTTATATGAAAAGGGCAACCAGTCTTATCCTATTTGGAAAACAACCACCGAAACAATAAAACCCTTTGTATTTCAACCTTCTTAATTTACCACAAGTAATTCCTCTCTGTCATCCATGTACTATCATTGCCAAATCCCAAGTTACCTCTAGCCATAAGGGACTGAGAAGCTGAAGCAGTGCAGGAGGTGCCTATGGTTTAACTCACACTGCCAGGTTGCTCTCCAGACCCGCACTCCTAATTATTCTGAACAGCATTCCATGGGAATATACAGGTCTCTGTCAGTCAACAGAACGTGATCAAGTCGTCAACAGACCAAAAGAGTTTTTGCCTGGCAATCCAAACAGCATTATGCCTCCCAAACGAACTATGCAGATGACAAATAAAAGAAGAGCTATCCTCCTGGGGCGTCTGATAACCTGTGAGCAAAAGAGGTCAGCAGCAACATGTCACTTCCCCTGTATCAGTCCCAAGGAGAGAGAGAAGAAAAGAATTAATTTTTTTCCCCACAGCAACAACCAAAGGCACTGACACAGAGACTGCTAGTTTTTCTGGACTTAGGAATCTTGGAAGTGCATTGCATGACTACATTCTGTATAGCCA